GTTGTGCCAGTGGCACAGCTCATGCTTTCCACATTGAAGGTCTCAAGTGCTGGAGAAAAACTCTGCCCCAGGAACCTGCTGAGCTGCTGTCGTTCAGAGGAGACAAGAAGGGCCGAGTGGCTACACAACCTGACCAGGCAGTTTTTTTTATGTATCATTTAGCACAGTAGAACAATAGCTGTGGAACTGCAGGTTTTAGCATTATACCTCCTGTCCTTGATGACCACAGAACAGGGTCATGGCCTGCAGAGAAGTATTTCCACATTTGTGGAACGGCAGCACTACAGGTTCATTCATTGATCGGATGTCCAACCGTATCAGATACTTTTTAGTGAAAGATACATCAATGTGGCAAATTGTCTGGAAAGCTCAGTACTGTAGTTTAGATACCTGCTTGCAGATCCAGAGGTTCCCTACTGTGCCTCCTATGAGTAGAGCCAGGTTGTGGGCCCTTGGGTAACCTGCGCAGCCCTAGGAAGCCCCCAGAAGGGAATGATAGACCACTTCTGAGTATTCTCCACCTGGAAAATCCTGAAAAGGGTCACCATAAGTCAGAACTGACTTGGTGGCACATGATTATTATCATATCAGTGTAGCAGGGAGATATGGAGGACAGAAAAGACAGAACTTGAAAAGTTATTTTGGGACTAGAGCCTCCTGGTCAAGATGGTCATGGCCAAGCCCTTGGTGGCAGTAAAGGAAGTCACAAATAAGAGAAAATGTCTTTTTGTAAAGCAGAGGCAAACGGCTGAAAAGTAAAATGTAGATTTACTTTGGAAAATGGTCAGACACAGAAAAAGCTCGACACTTTATATGTGTATAAGAAGGGCTTCAGGAGGCTGTAACAGTAGAATGCCATTGTGTGCTTCTCGCATATAATAGAGGATGCCTTATCAATGTGAGTGCCAAAGCAAGAACATGACATCTGTGACAGCTGGAATAGAATTCTTAGTCTTCATGACCTTTGTGAAAGATGGTATAACATATGTTCCTGGTGGTTGTGACCTTTCAGGCCAGAAATGGGAAAGGGGGCAGAAGATGTGTATTAGGAGGCTCTGCAAAGACACAACAAATCACATTTCACACTTTTATTGGGGTTCTGAGTGACACCACAGATAAAATATTTAATCAAATACAAGAAGAACAGGTTGCCATTTAGTTCTTTTCCCTAGATGCAACATAGTTAACATAGTTAACATGGAAAAAAGAATGCCCAGCTGGTGTTTATCCACATGACAACACCAGGTGGAGATCTTGGATTGGCACACAGAAGTAAGCTTTATTAATTTTAAAAAAATCTCATGCAAGATGGAACCCATACCTATAGATCACCATTGCTATTTTCACAGCACTGCCCTCCCCCCTGTGGCAGCAGGGACATTTGGGCTGCATATGAGCCATTTTATAGCCATATTTATCTCCAGTACACAATTTTCCATTCATTTCAATGGAGATTGTGTTATCACCACTTGAGTGGAGATTGGAGACATGCAATGTTTGGTGGATGGTACTTAAACATCCTAATCCACTGAGATATTATGACCATCCTTATACTGCAAGCACAGAACTCTTCTCCACTGCCATTAAAGTGAATGGGGAAAGTTCTATGTAGGAAGCTCTGCATTGCCTGCTGATTTATGGGCAGGCACCGCAGCTTAGATTAAGCCGCTTTAAACCTAATTGGCATTGCTGTCAAGCTTTCTGGCACTTACATTTCAAAGTGAAGAATTAAACATTGCGCATGGGAGTCAGCTGTGGGAAAGTTCTGTGATCTAGAGCAGTGAGCAATAGAGAAACTAGAATGGAAGCGGTTCTTACAATATCAACATTCAATACTGCTACCACACAGATAAAGACATCTCAGCAATAATATTGTACAAGCTTATATAGCAATATGTGTCAACTGGCAACACTGTACAGATTTTAAAATCTAAAGTGCACAGCCCTCAGTCTGAGGTGACAAAAAAACCCATACTATTAATATAATTAAAAGGCAACACAATTACAGACACATTTTTATCTCCTTGTTCCAACTTTGCAATGTCACAATGAGCTGGTACCCAAACTTAAGTATTTTCAAATCAAATTATTACGACATTACACTTGTTTGCTTCAAGTATTGGAGAGACTGTAAAACAATATTGTTTTACAAACCCAGGTGGCTGTGTTCATCCAAGTTAAAGCTAAAACCCAAAACTTAGCCAGGCTTGTAAGTGGAGACAACTCAAAGATAAGAGAGTGGAGAGTGACCACTTTCCCTTACCCTGAAAAAGACTTCTGCAACCTAGTGGCGTTCTGATGTTTTAGGTTACAATTTCTGGAGTTGTGTTTGTGAGACTGCTCCATTCTGCATCTATATAGCATAGGCTCAGGTTGAGGAGCATGTGGTCCTCCAGAGGTTGGGGAATCACCTTCTAGTAGACTTTGCAAGCATATAGCCCATGGTTTGAAAGCCAATGGGAGTTACGGCCCAACAACATCCAGAGGCCCTCATTGTCCCTATCCCTTGTCTAGGTGGATTTTCAGCCATAACAATATTCCTGCTAATGAGAAAAGGGCTTCCATAAGAAAGATGCAGAAACAGTTGTTACCTGTCCTAATAACGAATCAGCATTTATACAGCACTTCTAATTACCCTACCTTGTAATTATTGCAACATCCTTCTAATCAACATTATCATCTCATGTTAGACATAGAAGCTAAGCCTGAGAGACAGTAGTTTCAGCTAACCAGTAAGCACACAGCTGAAGATAGAGCCTAACCAGGGATTTCCTGATTTGTAATTATGCCATGACAGCACTGACACCCAAGAGAGAAGAAAATAGTGGCTAGGGCCTGGGTGCTTGGATGTGGGAAATCAGGATCAAATACAGTGTTTCCCCCAAAATAGGACAGGGTCTTATATTAATTTTTGCTCCAAAAAACCCGCATTAGAGCTTATTTTCAGGGGATGCTTTACTTTTTTCATGTACACCATCAACGTTTATTCAAATACAGTCATGTCTTCTTCTTCTGGTTGCTGCACAAGGGTGAAGGGCGGGGCTTCACTTAACTGGGACTTATTTTTTGGGGTAGGGCTTATATTACAAGCATCCTGAAAAATCATACTAGGGCTTATTTTCAGGTTAGGTCTTATTTTCGGGGAAACAAGGTACCACTTGAGCCACAATACCTCAGGTATGAGAAAAGTTACTTTTTTGGCCTTCTGTTCACAGAATGGATCAGCCAGCAGAGCCACCGGCTGCAAAGCTTCTTTCCAGCTTTGGGCATGGCTTTCTCTCTTTGGCTGGGGAGAAGGGGGGGAAAACCATCCCGTGCTTCTGGAAGAAGTCATATTAAAGGGAGTAAGAGAGAAGATACAAATATCAAACTGCAACCCAAGACTGGTGTCCAAAAAGCATGTGGACCATCTACTGAGACCTGTGCTACAACTAGAGTAGAGCAACTTGGAGATTTGCCCAGGGCACTAGAATTTACAGAGCACCAAAATCTGGAGGTACCATATATTCCAAGTTATATCCTATATAGTAGACATCCATCAGCCCTCTCTTTCTACATAAGTTTAGTCAGTGGTTTGTAAAAGGAAAGTGAACAGTGAACCTGTGGCCCTCCAGATTCTGTGACATTCCAATTCCCGTCTGCCCCATCCAACTGGACCACTGGTGATGGATCAAGGAGATAGCAGTTCTTCAACATCTGAAGGGCCACAGCTTTTCTAGCCCTGGCTAAGAAAAATGAAGCTTGGGTGATAGCTTAACAGGGTGATTCAACAACTCAAGCACCCTCGAATGAGTCTATGCTTTGGCATTAGCATTCCTTGGATTGGGAGCATCAGGAAGCCAGGAAGATTCTACATGGAAGGCTTCAAGAGGTTTCCTGGTGCTATCAACCAGAACTCAGTGTGCAGGTCTTTCATCTTTTGCCTTGTAGCTGATCAACTATTCATTGATTGAGAAAAGCAAAACACTCGGAAGGAGTGGCAGGAAAACCCAGGATGGTTGCAAGTGGAAGACAACAACTTCTGGACCCCTCTGTATAATACTATGGAAAAGGCATGACAATTGTGTAAAGAAAGCCTTCTCTAAAAGCACCCAAGGACTTGTGGCTGGCTCCTATGGCAGATGTGCTGGTAAACTTTGGTTCTACCAATCCAGTACATGTGGCTCTGTCTCCCCAACCCCCAGTTTTAAGGTGGTTTTCCCAGCAAATTTATTAGTCAGTGATAAGGCTGGTTGTTGTGGGTTTTTTGGGCTTCTTGGCCGTGTTCTGAAAGTGGTTCTTCCTAACGTTTCGCCAGTCTCAGTCTCTTCAGATGCCGGCCACAGAGACTGGCGAAACGTTAGGAAGAACCACTTTCAGAACACGGCCAAGAAGCCCAAAAAACCCACAACAACCAGCCTTATCACTGACTAATAAATTTGCTGGGAAAACCACCTTAAAACTGGGGGTTGGGGAGACAGAGCCACATGTACTGGATTGGTAGAACCAAAGTTTACCAGCACATCTGGGCTGGTTGATCAATTTGTTTAGAAGCTGCTACACTAAAACATTTCTGGTTCTTCTCAAGTGGAGCTCAAATAGACAGTTGTAGCACAAGCAATTAATCCCACGTTTCACCTTTTTGGGACAAGCCTCCACATACAACTCTTAAGTTTTGGCTTGGGTAGCACTGTGTTATGCTTGTGCGTCTGCTTAGCTAAGCCACACGGGAAGGATATTTCGGAATAATACCAGCAATTTGTAATATCCTTACCATTGGTTTGTTTGCTTGCACTGCAGTAATCTTTTAAAGTTTTACTATACTGTACTAAACTCTGAAGAAATAAGAGATAAAGTCACATGTTGAACTGAGAGAGATTTCTTGCTAAGAACTGATGTGGGGTTTTAGAGTCAAAACAAGCACTGTTAAATATTGATCCATCTCTTCTAGAAGAAAATTAAGGATCTTATTTCTTTTTCTATAATTTTTGTATTATTATTATTTGCCCCTGCAGTCTNTAATGTCTGCATGTAAATTAGAAATTCTGTTCTAATAGACTAAGAACAAAAAGGCAAAGTTTCTTCATTTAAAGCATATTTTTGTGTTACACTGTACATTGCCCCTCATTTTCTTGTGTAATTATCTGGGAGCAAGTCTATTTTATTTGACTACTTTTAGCATAAACTATCACATTTTACTAACTGTACTAAATTTGGAGAGTGACTCTGTGAACATGTCTTTTTCTGATTCATATGAATGCAGCCTTTTGTATATTACCTTCATGGGAAAGAGGTATTCACAAACTCAAGGGAAGGAAAAGACTTTGGAAGAGGAGCAACATTCTCCCTTTTAAATTGCACTCTACTTTGACGCCACAATATAGAAATAGATTCACTTTGGAACAAACTACAAATACATTCACCACAGTTTGTGACAACTTAATTGTCTACCTAGAGACATTTCAGAAGGGTCTGGCAGACCACATGACTATAAATCTTGCCCAAGGCGCTCTATTTCCTCAATCAGAAAATCGATGTCTTGGTGAGCTGCTGCTGGATTGGAGATAACCATGCGGAAGAAGTTAACCTTGTCTCCCAGGGGCTGATAGCTGACCATAGTGCTACCGCACTCCATCATCCGGGCTTTAATTACAGGGGCCACCTTCACAGAGTATGAAAAGCAAATAAACATTGTACTGTCTCTTCTCAGATAATTCTTTAAGACAAAGTAAACAAGTAACCAATGATGTCACTGGGGTAAGACTTCTGGACAAACATTCCAGGACTTCACTCGCCATGATGGGCAGAAACACCCTCAAGCTTAGCAGGGCTGGCAGATTTACTGTATTTGGAAGAAAATGAAGTCATACCAAGGTAAATCTGGAGGTGCAGCTGCCCATCATGATAGTCCCATGTTCAGATCAAGAGTTAATGGCTCTTAATTGCTGGGTCAGGAACAAAGCATGCTCCAATATGTTGCATTAAAACTAGGATAGCTTGCAATAAGACACTGTTACCAGGAAAATCGATTCTTCTCTCAGTTATTGTGAATAATAATAATACAGTGGACCCTCGACTTACAGACGGCTCGACTTACAGACTTTTCGAGTTACAGACTTCTCTGGTTGCAAAATTTAGATTCAACTTGCAGCCGGAGAATCGACTTACAGACCAGAAAAAACCCAAAATGGAACAAAAATAGAATAAAAACTGCTGGTTATGGGATTAATCTGTTTTCAATGCATTGTAGGTCAATGGAGATTCGACCTACAGACTTTTCGACTTGCAGCCACCGTTCCAATACGGATTGATTCCTTAAGTAGAGGGTCCACTGTAGTAGTAGTAGTAGTAGTAGTAGTAGTAGTAGTAGTAGTAGTAGTAATAGTAGT